CAAGGATTCAAGGTTCTTTATTTGGCAAACAGATCACATGTGGTACATGTGGTGGAACGAAATTGTGTACGCGGGGTCCCAGTTGCATCCACCAAAAGTATAAAATGTAAAAGAAAAACAGTAATAAGATCTAAGATATGAACTAAGAAAAAAATGTCATTAAAAATACACTAAGCACTAATAGTACAAAAACAATACATCGAACAGCAGCATGAACATGAGTCTGTGTGAGCAGATGAGTACAATTGAACAGACTAGCATGAAATAAATCAGCAGCATGATGTGATTTTTCACAGTGATTATTCTGGTTAGAGATTCATGAGTCTAACAGCATCAGGGTAGAAGCTGTTCCTCAGTTTAGTGGTTCTACACTTAATGCTCCTCAACCTCCTTCCTGAGGGGAGCGGGGCAAAAAGTGTGTGCTGGGTGAGTGGGGTCCTTCATGATGCATGTGGCCCTCTTCCTGCATCTGGAGGTGTAGATGTCTGTGATGGTGGGGAGGCTGACTCCAACATCTTCTGTGCAGCCTTCACCACTCTCTGCAAAGCTTTTCTTTCTGCAGCTGTGCAGCCTCCATGCCACACGTTGATGTTGGAGCACAGGATGCTCTCCACTGCACACCTGTAGAAGGAGGTGAGGACTGAGCTTCCCAGACCAGCTCGTCTCGGCCGCCTGAGGAAGTAGAGTCTCTGATGATCTTTCTTGATCAGGCTGGTGGTGTTGTTGCTCCAGCTGAGGTTGTTGTTCATGTGCACACCCAAGTACTTGTAGTTGGAGACCACTTCCACCGCAGATCCTCCTATGTTCAGGGGGAGGTAGGTGTGTTTATTCCATCTAAAGTCCAGAACTATCTCCTTCGTCTTCTTCACATTGATGTGAAGGTTGTTCTTCCTGCAGCAGCTCTCCAGGTGTTCCACCTCCTGCCTGTATCGTTTTGCACTTAATGTCAACAAAGCAAATGGCTAAATTTGCCAAAAACTACAAGAAAATGACCGGTTCACTTACATCAGGCTTGTAGTCCGTGGAGGTAAACAAATACAGTCTGAGAAAAGTCTTAAAACGTGTTGAAGTAAAAGTTGTGCAGCGTTTCTTTACAAATTTTCGTTTGTGCGTCGACGCGGGAAAGACAGGACGGCTAAATGTTCACAGATGAAAGCAAGACGGAGCGGAAATTCAAAGGTAGCCAAGCAACGGGGGGGAAACGTACACGTGCGCATTCTGCCTTTTCCTTCGGCTTTCCAACCCTCCCAGATGCACTCGCGCTCGCTCGCTCGTGCACGCGCAGGACCATCATCATTAACCGGAGCAGAGGAACACAATGTTAAGCTCGCCTCGGCCGCCTCGTCCTCTGGGTCAAGGCTAAAATAGAAGCCGTCCACAGTCAGGCCTCAGTGAGGGGGAGGAGGAGGGAGGCAGAAAACAGAGGAAGAGGAGGAAACTTTGGTTCGCTGCAAAGAATCTGTTGATGGTGGCGGAGTGTGAGAATGCAGTATACTTGGCCCCAGACCGCTGCAGTAGTTCTTTAGAGGTATTTTAATAGGCCTCCGTCTCTGTAAAGCTGCCCTTTGATCGTGCTCTCAGGCTGAGCGCCGACTGCGCCGGAAACAGACACCTGGTCGCACTCTGATGAACCCCGTCTGTCTGCCCGCCTCCAAGCCTTACAAGACGTTGTTTCAACTCTAAACTTCTGGACTGGTTTTAGTTCAGGAGTTTGTCGGCGTTCAGATCTGTGGAAACCTTCGGGGAAGCCACCCGAGGGTTAAAGGCGCTGCAAGTTGATAAGAAGCTCCTCACGTCTTCACATGTTGGAGCAGCTAACCTAAAATAAAGGAAACCTTCAGTTCTAATTAGATTTTACATCATATTTAACTCCCAGATACAACTTGTAACGCCCTGCTCAACTCGTGGAGGACAGTTAACTTTGGAAAGCCTTTAATTTCTCTCCAAATTACACAACGCAAATTACGGACTGGAAGATGAAGCTGCGAGTGTCATAAGATGACAACTTTATAGATTGAGCAGCAGGCTTTAATTTGGACTAAAGTTTTTTTTTTTTTTTTCTATTCTGCTGGTTGATTCATTCTGAGTAAATGTCTCCACATCTGTTTTTAAGAGGATAACTTTACCAAACAAACCATTTGGTGATTTCCAAAATTTTTCAGTCAGGTCATGTGGACAGTTTTTTTTTTTTTTTTTTGTGCTGCAACATTTCGCCTGACCTGGAATATTTTGGATTGTATACCTGGATTACTGAGCATGGGCTTTGTCATTTGGTGATTTTTTTTTTTCATGTCTTGATGACCTCACTTCAGCCAAGAGTTTGTGAAAATTGAATCTCATTACGAGCTGAAAAATCATCCAAAAAGAGAATTTCCACCTAATTCTTTGTCCTGGTCCAAAAAGTGACCTGAGCTTTCTCGATTTGCAGAATCCCAGAGGAATTATCATATTTTCCGGCATATAAGTCGCAGTTTTTTGCATAGACTTGTCAGTCCTGCAACTTATAGCCGACGCGACATATATAACAGGACCATGTTACTAAGAGAACCTCCCTGCCAACAGAACCACTATGCTAATAGGACCATCCTGCTGTAGATGTTGCATTTCTTTTTCACTTTTGGTGCTTTGTTTTGTACTTTTGATGCACACTTTGTTTTTGTTTTTTGGGGAGTCAAGACAGTTTTCCTCTTACTGAACATTTCATTGCATTGTTGACCTTGTGTTGACCTTGCATACGACAAATAAACAATAAACCTAAACCCTTCACAATAAAACTTGCACTGGACGCTATAATTCCTTTTGCCTTTGTCAAGTTAGGTGGAAACTGTGATGTTGTTCCACAATGGTCTTACGGCTAACACAACTTGTATGTTGGGTGGCTCATTTTCCCAAACATTAGCTCGGCTCGTTGTCTAGTTGGCACTGGTTAGCTTTGTTTACAATTCCTCTTGAAGTTGATAATCAGAATGCGCGGACAGATGTCCGGTAAGATATCGACTGCTGATAAGAAATCTGCTATTCTTTTTTATTCAAAACACTTTTACCCTATGTTTTTCTTTTCTTTGCTCAATATTCTTGGTTTAGATACAGTTCACTTGTGGTGCACCTGGTGGCAGGTCCAGGAACAACGTTACATTCGTAAACCTTAAATCGCTGAAACTGGTTGTTAGAATGTCTCTCCTGCGTCTGAACTCTGGACTCGGTACTAGCTGAGTGTTGCTGTGTATTTTACTACAGACAGATGTTTTTCTGTACTGGCTGCTCTCTTCAGTGCTCTCCCATGGTGGAGTCCAAGTTTACCCCGACTCCACTGCTTGTGCCGTTTCATGTGCGACCCAAATGGGGCTCATAAAGTTGCCACTCTGCGCAGGCCGGACCCCAATGGGACATCTGATATGACTGCGTACATGTGTGTAAGCAGGTGGGAGGTATGCATGCGCAGAGCACATACAAGCCTTGTTGGTGCGAGGCTGCATGTTTGCTAGCGTGTGTTTGTGTGCACACACGGGCCATAATCAGGTCCAGATGATTCTGAGTGTCTGCCAGCTTCCCAGAATAGCAGCGCTGGTTTCCCTGCAGCCCTCCAACTGGCCTTGGCAAATATTTTAGCAACTTCATGTTTACCTTCACACTCGAGCATTCTGCCTCACTCGGAGCGTTTCTCGTTCCCCGCACCCTGTCGATCAAAAATAATCTGCTTTTTCATCATTTACACCCGGTGGGCAGCAGCGCGGAGTAAACTGCTCCACTGAGCTAAAACCGAAACAAACTCAGCGGCAGGCCAGCCACATGTGGCTGCCTGAGTGAAGCTATCGCACTCTGATCTTCATGTGTTGGTTCCTGTTCCTCGCCTAGAACGCCACCGTGATGTTTATCTCCTGCTCAGGAAAATTCAGACAGTGTCAGGCAGCGAAGAGTCCCTCATTGTTCTGCTGAGGGACGACTTCTGACAAACATCCAGAACATTAAAACCAACAGATGGTTGATGTTATCATAAAACTCTCCTGCACGTTCCAAGGTTTCGTTTGAGATTGTTGTTCACCGCAGTGGAAAGGTCTATTTGTCGTCTGAAAGTGTGAAATTCTTTGCAGATTTTATTTGAGCCTCAGAGCTAAAGATGAATCAGTGAGTCCAATCTGATGCAGAGAATTCGCAAAACAAACTTCGCATCATGCAAACAAGCTACAGTAATTTTTTTTGGAGGATTCCAAGGCGTTCCCAGGCCAACCGAGAGAGACGGTCTCTCCAGCGTGTCCTGGGTTTTCCTCGAGGTCTCCTTCTAGTCAGACATGACAGAAACGGCTCGCTAGAGAGGCGTCCAAGTGGTAGATATCAAAGATGCACAATCCTCCTAAAAAGTTCCTCGAAATGGGGTCACAGACCAGACCGTCTTGTTGATGGCTTTGGCCATTCATGAATCACAGTCGACCACGTCCTGCACAAAGGTGAATTTAATGAAACGGAGCGAACATCGTGGAACCAAAGGAGGCGTGGAGCAGAACTCAACTTTGCTGACGTGTAGCGCAACGCATTAAGTATGAGATGCACATCTGCCTGATTTGACTCAGTCTGCCGACTCCCTCTGTGGTTAACGATTGTTTAAACTAAGTACAAGGTTGTCGTGCGCCATCATCGATCTTCCCTCAGTAATAAATCCGGTTGTTTATGCCCATGTCAGGGTGGCTGCTTTGACCAGACTTCATCACACTGAGCTGTGTCTCCGGCCAACCTTTTCACGTGCCCATCATTTTGGCTCTGTCACTACCTCCCACAGGAGTATCGGGGGTGGGGTGGCTTCGACCCCCTCGCTACCTCAGTCCATTAGGTCCCAGACTAAAATGTCTTGTGAGAGAAAACAGACATTTTGTTCACAAAGGCCTTGTAGACTCTCAAAGTTTTAAGGAACTGATGTTATCGCCACCTACTGGGGCTCTTGAGCAAAGCACACAATGAACACTTTGAATTGTCTAACCTGTTGTTTTGTTTGTTGTTCGTTTCAGTGCCGTCCCTCCAAAGGCAGAAGACGGGGTTTCTGTTGGTGTGTGGACAAGTACGGGCATCCTCTTCCCGGCTACAGTGACAGAGCGCACAACGAGAAGAAGTGCTACAACCTGGAGAGCAAGTGAGACGGAGGACCGGCGGCTGGACGGGGAGAGCAAAGCAGCATGAACTGGTGGTGGTGGTGGTGGTGGGAGGGGCATGGAGAGGGACGAGCGAACGAAAGCGAGAAAGAAAGAGCCCACTTTGCTCTCGCTTGTAGATTGATGTAAACATTTTGAAGGAAATTCGGACCTTTGCTTTCAGGTCCCATTTCTGTCAGAGGGACATTGGGGGGTGAATAAGAGGGAAGGGGTGGGAAAGGGTGGAGCCCAGCCTCCTGTCCTTTATAGCTATCCGTCCCGTGCTGAGGGACCCGCTATCCTTTCTTCAAAAAAACAAACAATTAAGCTAAAAGCTGAGAGAACGAGAGGACAAAGCATTTTATCATCTGCACTATTCTTTTAGAGGGAGAGGAAGGAGGGACTTTTCCACTCACTTTAACAACGCTTGTGACTGTGACCCCCCTCCCCCCTCGAAAAAAGAGTCACACCAACACTATTTCTATTGTGTGTGTGTCTGTTGTAAGTGTGTAACCACAAGTTTGCGTGTCTTTTAATCCATGAGCGCCTGCATAACTTCCGTTTTCACAGCTGCCTGTCTGTGTGAGACGGTGAGCGAACGAGTACTTCCCCCCCCAAAAAAAAAACATTTATCTGTAAAAACACGCAGCTAAGCTCCATTTAGGGAGTCCCTGCTTCATCAAACATGCAGGAAAACACAACAATCTCTAGCTCAGGGTCCATTCTCAAATGAAACAACAGAAAAAGTCAGATTTTTCTTGTCAGTTTAGCACGATCACAACGTCCGGTCTTCCTCGCCGCCTTCTTATCCTTCAAGAGGACTAGAAGGTCAACTGTGCAGTCAAAGTGCCTTAAAAACAAACCATCTGATGCCTCCCCCTCCGCAACCTCTGCAGTCCTCGACGCAAGGACGACTTTCCTGCAAACGTTACCGTTTGAACAGTCGGTCTTGTCGAGTTTTGTAGCTTGCACCTTTGCAGCAGCAGCTGTGGATTCACGGCTCTGTTCGAGACGGATCGTTTCACCGACCGCTGCAGGAAAACAAAGTCAAATGGACGTTTTAAATTTATTTACAATTAGAAGAAAAAAAAATCATTATTTAACAGTTATGTGCAGATTTCTGAAAAAAAAAATTTAAAATTGTACTTTATGACTGATTTGCTTTCTTTAGTAAAGCAATTAAACTCAAGGAATAATGAAGAAAGTAGATTAAAAGGTGACTCTTATAGTTTCTGGCAGCTTCAGGTGGGATCTCACTGAGCTGAGCCGACTGGAGATTCGAAGAAAGACTTTCAAAGGTGATTTTTTTGTGTGCGCACGTCTTGCCAAACTGAATTTTTGGCGACGAAATTAATGTGCGACTACTCAGGGAGTGTTCTGAAACCAAACTTTGGATGATTGGAAACAAAAAAAGGGGAAAAAGTTTGTGATCAAACAGATGTAAAGGTGGTATCTCACTGGGCTGCAACTAGTGAATAACAGTCATGAGGGCGTGTCCCCGAGACCAGTGTTGCCAGATCTCGCGATAGAAACAAGCAAACAGTTCTATGAAAACAAGCCCCAAAAAAGCCCAACTGGCAACCCACCACATTATGTAAAACAGAGGCTGTTTTTAAACACTATAAACATGCATTTATTACGGCATTACACATAAACATCAAAATTATGCTAAACACTTTGAATAACATATTTTTAAGCCAAAAATCATATTTTTCTACAAACAAAACATCCTGACATCTGCGTGTGCGTGGAGCCCCCTAGTGGTCGGCCACAGTATGAGAGTATGGGCGGAAACGATAAACAGGAAACGGGGGTGTGGAAGGGACAAACTACCTACTACCACTAGTCCTTTGTTTTATTGTGCGGAGCTGGGAGATATTCAACTAGGTTCATTCGGAAAGAAAGTCAAGCCCAAATAAGCAACTTCACGTTGAAAACAAATCCAAAAAAAAACCGCGACTCACAAGATTTGCAAGCGACTTTAGAAAAAAGTAAAAATAAATCAAGCCCAAAGTCACTTATAATAAGCGGACTTGGCAACACTGCCCGAGACCCAAAGATAAGCAGTACCATCTAACGTGCATGGCCTAGAACAGTGTTTTTCAAAGTGGGGGCCGCGGCCCCCTGGGGGGGCTGCAAGGGGGCGCCAGAAGGACCCCAGAAAGATGGAAAAAATAGTAATATTATTAATAAAAATTGCCCACTAGGGCAATCTGTATCTGTCATTTCCAGCTAAACACGCTTGAGACAGGTTAGATTTGTTTTGTTCTTCTGGTCAACAATTTGTTGAAAAGTTGTTGTTTTTTTGTCGTTGGGAATATAATAGAGGTTAAAACATGTTGGGTAATAACATTGTTATGCTCAGCAGCTGTAACAATTAATTGAATATAGTGACTAAAAGTTAAACAGTCTAAAAGTTGATGTTTCTTTACATATTTTGTAGCGTTGTTTGTGGGTTTGCGAGGGGGGCCTCGGCCAGAAGCTAATGCTGTTTGGGGGGCCATGGCATGGAAAAGTTTGGGAACCCCTGGCCTGGAATACAGTCTTTTAAGCCATGCACGTAAAAATATATATTTTTAATTTTCATAAACACAACTTGATGGCCACTCGGTTGTAAATGCTCCCAGCTCGGCGAGGCTGCAGCTAAAGATTCACGTATTTTCTCTTAATATCGAATCGCCAACAGTCGCAGGTCAGTGAGATTCCACCGTAATTAGAACATCGTCACTCGCAACGTGCAACAAAAAGAAGTTTGCACACAATCTGCAGGAACGTTGCAGTTGTGTTTATGAGCAAACCTGTAATAAGTGCCAGTTCAGTGAAAGTTTGCTGATTTTCCTCAATTTGTCGTCGCCATCAGCAAGATGACATGAGCTGATAAAGGTGAACGCTACAAACTGCTTTCAATGTCCTTGCATGTTTACATTTTTTATAAATACAGATTTTTCTGCCATGCGTCTCCGTTTGAAGTGCTCTCCGTCTGCAGTTTAAAGAAAACGTTTGGGGTCTTCTCTACGTTCTGCCTTCACGCTCGTCCCTCGTTTTTTTGATGCAGCTCTGAGGTCCGTGTCCCGTCTGATCCGGTTCCTGCCCTCGTCCCCTCCTCTTCCTGTCAGCAATGCAACATGGTGTTGGCTTGTTTTTACGGGTCGAGCCCGGTGTGACCGTTCCGCTCTGCCGCAGGTGCCAGCTGCCCCTATGCTTCAAGCACAAGCACTTAAAGCACTTTAGCTGCGCTGCTACTCGTCAACGCATGCAGTTAAAGACAATTGGACCGACCCGCTCCTGTATACCTTTCCTGGGAGGCCGTGTCGGATGTAACAGAGACGAAAAGAAGTTCAAATACACACACA